TGCATATTGTACTATTTATCGTGCATTGCCGTGTGTATGCAACTGAGGCTTATATATCTAATGTTACCTTACTTTACGGATAATCTTATATATCTAATGTTTAAATGTCTAATATTTGAATGTCGACCCTGACACTTATGCAGCGTAACATATAAAAAAAACAAACAAACAAAAAAAAAAGCCAAATACAGATATCTTAGAAAGGTGTTTGTAATACTTGTCCAAATCCAGAATAATGTCCTACTAGTTTGTTACTGCATTACCCTATTCTAGCCAGTAGGGGTCACAACATAAAACATATATAATACGCATACTAGGATCATTGCTTTTATTGGTCCAAAGTATATTATATATTAAAACAATCAACCAAGTGCAGTTACAGAATTAACAAAATGTCCATTCACAAAGTGAACATGTACACCAGTAAAAATTGTTGTATAATTCTTCTCTCATCACCAATACTTCCAATTGGTATCCTTTTGAGAGAAATCCACTCTGCGTTGTGTATTAATAGTGAATGTAATATCCCTGTGTAACCTCTTCCAAGAACTAACATATATCTTTCTCCCCTTGTCCAGATAAATATATGACTAGCACTACTGAGGTATTCTACCCGATGTTACAATTAAACAGCCAACACCATAGTTAGAGAAATCTTTACTTAGAATCTGCCCAGTTAAATATTACAGAAGTAGAATGTTACAGAGTTATAGTACAACAGAATTACAATACATTCATAACACTCACACATTCCATCTATCTAATAATATCTGCTACATTGTGTATAATAATATCTGCTACATTGTGTATAATAATATCTGCTACATTGTGTATGTGCTGGGAGATGTTATGTGCAGCATGTGCCTTACCAAAAACTTAATCTAATGTGATGTCAGTATCTTCTATTTTTAAAGGAATTTGTTCCCATGTTGTAAATAGCCAATTCCTCAGCTCAATTTATATGTAAATTTGATTTACTTTCTCAAGGCCCAAAGTGTTGTCTATCCTGTTTTTTTTTTTTTATTTATGTGTAAACTCTTCCAGCCATTCCCTTGCCTCTAACCCTAGGTGTGACTGTTTTCCTAGATAGAGACTCCTTTGAAGACTAGTTGATATGTAAATATGATAAACATTCCCAAGGATGTAACTGTGCCTTTCAGGTGCTGTATCTTTGCAACTAGCTAAACAGAAACTCCCTTTATAGGACACCCATACAGTTATGATAATACCCTACTGGGATATGGTGAAGGAAGCTGTGACCACCATGTTTGGTGCTGATACCACTTTGAGGTAGAACATTCTGTGCTTCACATGACTCCTAGGCCATATCCACCTATTAAAAAATCCTTGTGATTTCTGCTCAACGCCACAAAGGCTCTGGTACCTACCCTGTTCAAACAAGCTGCAGTTCCCATGAGGGAGCAATGGCTTCATGAAGTTGAAGATATACAGGCAGCAAAGACTGCACATACTTCTCTTATCAGGATGATTGCCCAGCATGCAGAGTGATGGAAACCTTGGTTTTATTTTGCAGCTGGGAGGGTTGGTGGAAGTCAGGTAGTTGGCTGAGTGGAGGGGGAGGGTTTGGTGGGCAGACACTCAGTGGCAGATCCGGGGGGGGGGGAGGCAATGGGGCAATTGCCCCCCCCCCAAGATAACAAGGCAGGCCGATGGTCTCCCCTGCCGGCTAATGCAGGGCTGGCACTGTCCAAACGCTAGCCCTGATATGTGTCTTCAAGGACCGGAGCAAAGATCAGAGATCTCTTTCCCTGGTCTGCAGGCACCATGCACCATGCACCGTACACCGTGACAGCCAGCAGGGGAGGTATTGGGAGAGTACTCAGGAGCTCAGCTTGCAGCTCCTCTGGGTCCTCCTCCCGCGAGCACGGAGCATTGTTGCAGTTACCACGGCAATGCTCCGGATTTTGCGAGAGTGAACTCTAGCCCTGGATTCCCCACCGGACCACCAGGTATAGAGAAATGACCACCCTCCTCCCTCAGTAAAAGTAAGAAGGGAGGGGGGACAGAAAATATATTTATTTTATTAAATTAAAAAGAAACATATTATTAAAAAGCCTCCCTACCCTCCTGCCCCCCCATACACACACTGCCCCCGCACATATACACTGCCCCCCATACACACACTGTCCCACAAACATACACTGCCCCCCCATACACACACGGCCCCCACACACACATACACTGCCCCCCCATACACACACTGCCCAACAATACACACACTGCTCCCACATACACATACACTGTCCCCCATAAACACACTGCCCTATATATACACCCATTGCCCCACACACATACACTGCCCTCCATACATACACTACCCCACACATATACACTTCCCCACATACACACATTTCCCCACACACATACACTGCCCACATACACACATTGCCCCACAAACACTGCCCCCATACACTGCACACCTATACACGCATTTCCCCACACACAGTGCCCTCCATACACACACTGCCCCATACACATACAGTGCCCCCCCATACACACACTGCCACCCCATACACACACTGCCCACACATACACTGCCCCATATACACATTGCCCCCATACACAAACACTGCCCCACATACACATATATTGCCCCCACACACGTACACTTCCCACCACACACACACTGCCCCCACACACATACACAATGCAAGCCTCACAAACACACTTCCCCCCAACACACACACTGCACACCTGACATACACTGCGGCCCTCACACACACACACTGCTCACACACTGTCCCCCTCACGCACACACACTGCAGACCCCAGGTAAGTTGTCAAACTGTTCCTAAATGGTTTAACTACTTACTCTGGGAGGGGGTCCTGGCACTAATGGCACCATAACCACTACACTGAGCTGTAGTGGTTATTGCTCCTGGATTATTTTTTTAAATAATCTACAAGTGCCCCTCCGGAGATCAGGCTCTGGATCTGCCCTTACAGATACTACCCCCTCGGAGACTGCACTTCTTTTTGTCTATTTCCTTTTCTCTCTCTTATACCATTAAGTTAGGAAAATGTGGAACCGGTGTATTCTTGTTAGAGATTATGAAGGGGTGGCTGACATATCAGTGGTTACCTTAACTATTATCTATCACCTACTACAAGTGAAACATAGACACAAATGAGATTAAAAAAAATGCCGCCTTTGGGGAGTATACCATTCAGTAATAATGCTGACGAATAGCCAGTTGCCCCTCTTTAGTCGTTATCAGATATCATACTGCTGGACTACTGTAGTATATGGAGAACTACATGGAATGTGTGACAGCTCAGAATGGTTATGTGAGATCAATTAAAACTAGATACTCACATTGATTGTAATTTGACCATGAGTCCTTAAATGATGCATAAATGTAATGCCTCCGATCTTGTTGAACCACTGTTACCTCCAGGAGCATATTAGCCGTGAGGCAAACAAGGCATTTGCGTTGGGCAGCATTTTTCAGGGGGCGGCAAAAAAAGCCGCCCCCAAATGCCCAAGGCAAATGTCTTGTTAGCCTCGCGGCTAACAGACATGCTGGGCGCTGGACGGCATTGGTGGGCGGGCGGGCTCTTCCTGTGAGCTGACTGCTCAGCTCCCTCGCACGCCGCAGAGTGAGGCTGTGAGCCGGAATATGACGTCATCTTCCGGTTCCCAGCCTCACTCTGCGGCGCGTGAGGGAGCTGAGCAGTCAGCTCACAGGAAGAGCTCCCTCGTCAGCCGCCCGCCCGCCAATGCCGCCCACCCAGCAGCCACCAGGGAGATAGAGAACCCCTTCCCTCCCCAGCACTCCCAAATGTAAGGAGGCTGGAGGAGGGGGGGGGGGGGTTAAAAAGTACATGTGTTAATGTGAGTGTGTCTATTAGTGAGTGTGTGTGTGTCTGTTAGTGTGTGTGTCTGTTGTTAGTGAGTGTGAGTGTGTGTGTGTCTATTAGTGAGTGTGTGTGTGTCTATTAGTGAGTGTGTGTGTCTGTTAGTTAGAGTGTGTGTGTGAGTGTTAATGAGTGTGTGTGTCTGTTAGTGAGTGTGTGTGTGTCTGTTAGTGTGTGTGTGTGTCTGTCTGTTAGTGTGTGTGAGTGTGTCTGTGAGTGTGTGTGTCTGTGAGTGTGTCTCTGCTAGTGAGTGTGTGTGTTTCACTGTGTGTGTCAGTGAGTTTGTGTTTCTGTTAGCTAGTGTATGCGTATCTGTCAGTGAGTATGTGTGTATTTAGAAGGCGGGGGGGGAGGGACGGGTGGGGTTCGCACGCGGGGGGGGGGGTTGTGGGGCGCCTGAGTTTTGTCCTGCCTAGGGCAGCACAAAACCAGGATACACCACTGGTTACCTCCACGAGTATTCCTGAAATTACGTTATGTGATGTTGATTTTCTATATATGGAATTATCTCCTTTACTTTTCATGTTCTTCATTGTGGAGACTGTAATGTCTCCTTTTGTTAATTTCTCTCTTATGTCTGAAAAAAATCTTTGCGATAAAAACTGATTTTCAAAAAATATAACTATAAAGGTATAAAATGGCCATTGATCCTAGTATGCATATAATATATGTTTTATTTATTGTAACCATAAATCACTATTACAGGAGGTTATCTGTATGGGACTAAGTGATCGCATTATTAAAAAAAACCCTCTCTAGACAATCAGAGGCTTTTCCTGCATGGAATTTGGTTATCATTATCAATAACTTAATATCGATAGATATACATACAGTTTTAATTAATGTAAAAACATTAGGAATTATCCTAATGATTTTAATATGACTAAAAGGCAATGCTTCCCAACATATTTACTTAGTATGAAATAAAGGTTATGCTTTAGAAGTCATTGTACCACATATATTCTTTTTCATTGGTTTATTTCCAAACTTCATATTTCACAGTTCAGTATTGCGTTTTGATGACATCACATTCACCATGAGAGTAGCCTGTGGTTTACAATGGTTTAGCCTTACTGCTGCCTGCTATTTAAAGGGACACCACCGTTACCAAAACAACTATAGCTTAATGAAGCAGCTATGGTGTATAGATCATTAAGGATCTGTAGTCTCACTGCTCAATTCCCTGCCATTTAGGAGTTAAATCACTAGTTTCTGTTTATGCAGCCCAAGTCACACTTCTCCTGGCTGTGACTGAAACAGTGTGAAAATAATAGTTTAATTTTCAGTCAGATGTTAACTTGCTTTAAAGGTTTTAATCTCCTGCTTTGTAAAGTGAACTTTAATTACACACATCTTGAAGGCTATTAGTAGAACAGGTGATAATTCATTCTAAATTAGACAGCATATGCAATAAATGAAGTATAAACATTAGATCTCTCTTTACAGGAAGTGTTTAGGAAGGCTGTGTAAGTCACATGCAGAGAGGTGTGATTAGAACTGCATTAACAAAGGGATTTAACTCCTAAATGGCAGAGAATTGAGCAGTGAGACAGCAGGAGCATGATCTACAGACCAAAACAGTTTTGGTGCCTATAGTGTCCCTTTAATTTGTCTCTGCTACCCTGCTACATCAGGGGTGCCCAAAAGGTAGGTCCTCAGATGTTGTAGAACTACAACTCCTTTGATGCTTTGCATGCCTTTAGAATGACAAAACATCATGAAAGCTGTAGTTTTACAACATCTGGGGATATATACGTTTTAGGCAGCCCTGCTGCTATATTATTTTATATTTTGTGCTTGTTTTGTTGTAGTTTCTTCCCACAGCTATTTTGTTGTGTGGTCTCTAGTATTGGACAACATTTTGGGCATAAACCATAGTATATCCAAAAAGTCATCAGGACCTGTATTTATTTTTTTTTTTTTCCTGATGACGAACTCGATAGGTAGAAGTCTTTTTCCATTTCCTGAATTAAATTATTTTTCTTTCTTAATTTTTGGATTTTGGAAGCAGGAATTAGATGTCTGGTTTGAATGTCATTCTATATTGATTCATCTGGTTAAGATATTGCATATAGACTAATAGGGACTGTATATCTGCCAGTGTCTGTTGCCAGGGCTGCTACCAGAAATTTTGGGAACCCTGACACAGACTAAGGTTTGGGCCACCCCCAAATCTTCCAACAGGGCCCATCCTGAGTCCACCCACAAGGATGAAGTGTGTGTTTACTGAATTTGGTGTGTGTATAATGGCTGTAGAATGTGTGTAGTGGATGCAAAGTGCGTGAGTAAAGTGGATGCAGTGTTTATAGTGGATGCAGATTGTATATTTGTGTGTATTAGATGCAGAGTATGTTTGTGTAGTAGATAGAGTGTTTGGGTAGTAGATGTATCATGTGTATAGTGAATGCAGACTGTATGTATGTGTAGTGGATGTAGTGTGTGAAAGTGAATGCAGAGTGTGTGTGTAGTGGATATAGTGTGTGTATAGTGAATGCAGAATGTTTGTGTAGTGGATGTAGTGTGTTTATAGTGAATTCAGAATGTGTGTTTGTGTTGTGGATGTCGTGTGTGTGTAAAGTGAATACAGTGTGTTTATTTGTGTAGTGGATGTAGTGTTTGTGTGTATAGTGAATGCAGTGTGTGTGTAGTGGATGTAGCATGTGTAGAGTAAATGCAGAGTGTGTGGTGTGGTTTGTGTGTGTTTGTGTAGTGGATGCAGTTTGTGTGTTTGTGTGGTGGATGCTGTGTGTGTGTTTGTGTGGTGTATGCAGATTGTGTGTGGTGGAGGCTGTGTGTTTAATGATGTGTGTGTGTTTAGTGGATGTGTCTTTATGTTGGACAAATGCTGCTGGGGTTATTTATTTTTTTGCTGTCGATTCATTTAAAAAAAATAAAAAATATTACCCCTTCCCTGCCTCTTTCCTGTAGCCAGGGAGTGGGGACAACAGATTCCCTGGTGGTCTGGCGGTTCAGCTCATTGGGCCAGTGGCTCAGCTAACTGGGGCAGCAGAATGTGTGTTTGCGTAGTGGATGTAGTCTCCATCTGCAGTCTCTATCTTCATTATGTCCTGGGCCCCTCTTTGAAAACAGCAGGGCCCGCAGAGGCATATATACTGCATATGTGTATATATATATATATATATGCACATTGGAGGGCGGGAGGCCCGGACATGAAGAGGACTACCAGTGCAGTCCGGGCCCCCACAACCACCACAAGACAAGGTCGCCAAACTTATCTCCCAAAAATGGGGGTAACCCAAAATAGAAATATCAAAAAAGGGAACAAAACCACAGGCCTAACTACAGCGAAGCACCAGAATACTAGAGGGGGAAAGTCTAAGTAGTAAAATAAAACATAACTTTTATTACATTAAAAAAAACAAAACAATAAAAAACCACTCAGGATTTAGAAGCATACGTGAATCAAATGATATTGCACTAAGGATACTGAAAAATAAAGGGCTATAAGAAGAAAAAGTGCCAATCCATTTAGATTAAGTATCACTTCATTTACAGGGCTAATAATTAATTAATGATTAAAGGATTAATAATGAATCCTTTTTATCCACAATCCACGAGGTACAACTGGTACTGACACTGTGTATAATGAGGAACAAGGAAATTAGTGATACCTGTCTGGGGCTTATTGCCAAAACAACGCTGTATGTATTCCAAACCAGTTTTTAATCTATATGACGGTCCACACAGGTCTCACTGGTTTCTTTGTTCCTCTGTTTACGCCGTGTCAATACCAGTTGTACCTCGGGAATTGTTGATAAAAAAAATTGTTAATTAAATGAAGTGATGCTTAATCTTTATCCTTAGTCCAATATCATTTTATTTACGTGTGCTTCTAGACTTTTACACCTTGCAGTAGTTAGGTCCAGGTTTTCTGTTCTCTTTGTTGATATAAAATAAACCAGTCTAGCTAGTTGTTATTATGAATGAATGGTTTGCACATGTTTACAGCATCAGTTATTTAGCGGTCTGTTTGTCAGACTAATGGATTTACACTAGTCTCTCTGTGTGGTGTCAGTTAAAACTGACCATCCCTCCTATTACATAATAATGTGGTGACATAGTTTAGATAAAGAAACAATTAAATGGAGTTCACCCTTTCACACATCTCCCTTCTTCTCCGAGGCTTTGGATCAAGGGTTAGAGGATATTAATCCACCTTCTTTTGGGACGGTAAGGTAGACCTATATGGTGGACCTGGCTCTAGTGACACAGCATCATGCTTTTGGGATTTTACTCATTCTATTCATATGATAAGTTTGAATGTGTTTCAAGCATTTAATACTTGAGCTTGTCCTGCATTAGGAATGATCACTCTGTTCCATAGGAGATACGTTTTATAGACAGCTAATTCATGTTCTAGCACTATAAATGGTTGGAACTTCTCTTTAACAATTGATGTAAGACATCCCCTCCAAACCTAGTTGAGCACTTAGTCAGTACGGATCCTTGGCAGTCATAATAGTGATATCACTTGCTTGAAATAGATTCCAACATGAGATCCTCAGATACAGGAGAAACATGGAAATCAGAAGACGGCAAACAACTTAAAACATCAGCATTCGTGTCATCTTTCCCAGGATGATGCTTGAAGTCACAAACAGATCTAGGGGACCAACTCTGCATGCGTGGTGAAATCATTTGACAAGTTGAAGGTGAACAGACCAAGTACAAAGCCTATGATCTGTTACAGCATAATAGTAGAAATAACTAAAAATATTTAGCACGTGGGCTCCACAAATAATTAGAGGAAAACAAATATTCCTATAAAAGATATATACCTATAATAAAAAAATACCAGCTAAAACAATGAAAAATAGCATATAACACACTAAATAAACAATGTATCCATTTCTAACATTGGTTCATAACATATGCTGTACTTCCCAACAACTGCAACAGTTGCAATTAACACAGAAGCAGCATGTAGCAGTCCAAAGGGAAAGTAAATGTTAACACAAAGGGGGTTGGGTAACTAAATGTTGCAAACCTTGGTGCATGTAAATTGCATAAAAACTGTAGGTAATATAAGATACTGGATAAATACCCCTCTCGAAGAGAAAAAAATACCACATAAATATACAAAAACAACAATAACATTGTACAGAAAATTATAAAAAAAAAATAATAAAAACATGCAAATAGATATTGAAAATCCAAAAGTTCAAAAGGTATCTGCTGATATAACAGATGTAAAACTACCTGACCTCATGGGGAGAGGTCAGCAGTGATGTGTTCCTGCCAATCTTTAATTATCCTTAAAATAAAATAGAAATGTACAAAGTGTTGTTTTGTTTTTTAATTGTAATTTTTGAATGCAATCCATTTTATGTCCCTCTCTGTGCCTCACTTTTTCTCTTTCTTCATGCTCCCTAACACCATTTTCATTGGCAGAATAAGCCCCCTATCATTGTAGGTACTGTGCATACCTCTACATGAGATGGCTGACCTATCACCTCTCAATTTGCCAAGGCAGGTGGGGGCAATCTACAAAAAAATTATTTTACAACTAGCTGACACCAAGCCCTACTTGACTCATGACTCCTTGCTGCAACTATCTCTATAACAAACAATTAAGCTGGTGCTCTGAGCCTGGAGTTTGTCCCTTATACAAGTGAGCCAGTAGTTCTAACAGCTGCCCTCCCGTGCATTATCCTGGCCTAGTTAGCACACCTTTGTAATTCAAGTCATGGGATGATCAGGGATTTTCCAGTGAATCACAGGTGATTTTATAGCAACCTTACAGCTAAGCCATAACAGCTGACATTGGAGACTTTCAGACAAAATGTCACTTCACTTTTAACATCACCAGTATCATCACCAGAGGAATCAATGAAGGCTGTCTGGTTGGGGGGTCTAGGTTTATTTTACCACAATGTATTTTCAGGTAGGGGGGAGAGTGACCTAACAGAGTAACCCACACCAATCTTATTATAGATCTCCGAATTTATGTTGGGAACCTCATATGCATAGGAACATACACACACATATATACATAAGTTCCCAACATGCCCTTTTATATATATATATATTACTGTATTTTAATGAATTATTTGACATTGCCTGTTGCCAGCTTACAGAGCAATGTGCTATTTTTTTCCCATGAATTTTGATTTTTTTCCTTCGAATGGACATATTATTTATCTAACAATTCTCATTTTTACAATTTGGCTTAATCAGTTTTTAATTTCTTCCGATTCTTTGATGATCAGCTGACTTTGAGTTTTGCCGCCTTGTTCCTTTGTCTAGCCCATACCTTATAAGCATCCATTGATTCAGAAACACATATCATGTTTGAATTAAAAATAATTTATTCTTTAGACATAGAAGTTCATGAAGAGAAATCAAATCGGGATTGGAAGAAGAGCCTTTACACATGGTCAAAATTCATGATGAAATTCAGGAATATTTATTCTTACAGTCCAGATATGCACCTTCCTCTCTCCAGTAGAGCAGGGTGGACCCTGCAAAGTTAAGTCGAGAAATAGCACACATCTGCAAATAATAAAATAAAAATAATTTTAATAAACCCACAAGTAAAACAGACCCTGTCTCATTCCTACACTTTGTATGCTATATTCCAATACTGTGTTTTGTTGACCTCACAGAAATAATTTGTGGCTAGACATCAGTACTTCAATGTCAGCAGTTTGTTTTTAAAAACTTGTTGCCTCTTAAATTACAATTGTGTGTTTTGCTCCTGCCTTGAATTTGCCTCAAATTGTTTTATTTCTCCTACTTCGTACACTGGAGGCCTTGAACCTTGGATGTTGACCAAACAGTAAAAGCAGTACATGTTTTTTTGTTTTTTTTTTTATTCAGCATTTGATTTTTATCCACTTCATGGAAATATTACAAGATGATGAATTGCACTGGCTGTATGGAGAACATCTTCACAGGATAAAAACATTATCGTTATATCTCGTTGCGTCTTGCTGGGTCCTTTGTTCATTAGTCCTTCTGCTGGTTCTGAAGACTGTTTGGAGACAGACTACAGTTTCCTTATGCCTCACTGAATGATAAAAATATTCTTCCTGGCAAGGCAGTTTATAAATAAGTAATTTCATCCCCATTTCCGGATTTAGAATGGTTTCTTTCATAATTTGGGGATTTCACAGGCAGAATATATATTGCTGCTTATGAAGTCATCGTTGTTTTTCGTTCCACCTTGCAATGTTTATACAAGGCTAACCTACTAATCCAGAATATTGAAACAAAAACAAACCATGTCTTGCTGGTAGTTACAGTGGTTGATTTGTACAAGTTTTTACGAGAGTGATGTTCGTCCACCCATTGTAAATCGCTGCGGAATTTGACGGTGCTCTATAAATATCATAATAATAATAAAATGCTAGGTTTCTATCAGTCTCTTTATCGAATGTCTGCAACCAAGAGGTAACATTAGATGGACAGGTTCTGTGCAATTACTCTTGGTTGCTATTTGTACTTTAGGTTTCTACCATCAGATCTCTTCTATTGCGTAGTAGCATATATATAACATGTATGTATTCTATATAATATATATATAACAATGACTGGGAAAAAAACAGCTAAAAGAAGGCATGTTCAACCTTTCATGTTTTATTTCTGTTGGGACAAATTCCATCTTTCAGAGGACAAAGGTAAGATGAGACAGGTCCACCTTTAGATGGGGAGCTATAGAGTAGATCTGAACATGATGACACAGCATCATGGTTTGAACGCATGTAACATGGCTTAAACATTCTAGTGTTAAAGGACCACTATAGTGCCAGGAAAACATACTCGTTTTCCTGGCACTATAGTGCCCTGAGGGTGCCCCCACCCTCAGGGACTCCCTCCCGCCCGGCTCTGGAAAGGGGAAAGGGGTTAAAACTTACCTTTTTCCAGCGCTGGGCGGGGAGCTCTCCTCCTCCGATCCTCCTCTTCTCCTCCCTGTCGGCTGAATGCGCACTCGCGGCAAGAGCTGCGCGCGCATTCAGCCGGTCACATAGGAAAGCATTCATAATGCTTTCCTATGAAAAAATGGGTTAACCCTAGCTGGACCTGGCACCCAGACCACTTCATTAAGCTGAAGTGGTCTGGGTGCCTAGAGTGGTCCTTTAACATTATTTTACTCATATTGCAGTTTTGACATGTTTCAGATGTTTTGGACAGAAAGGGTCACCTCTGCAGAGTTTCCTTGTAACAGTGCCAGCTGCTAGGACATCTTGCTATACATTAGTTTACAATATCCTCGGCACTACAACAGAGAATTACAAAGACACTGTGCCATTAGACCAAATGTGTACTTAAACATTAGGGTCTATAAATTCAAAGACTAGGGGAGATGGAAAGTTATATTTTAACCTGCCATAGACCTGACTAAAGCAGAGTTACCATCGACGGTGGCAAAGGCTTGACCTGAAAAAAATAAAAAGGTCGTATAAAAAATATTCATATAGAGACCCCTTCAAAATAAATCTATGTAATGAATTGTGAAAATACCAGAAGATAGGGTTGATTGTATTTTCTGTGTCAAGACCAAGTGGGGGCAAACACCTACATTTGAATGCAAGACTATTTCAAAAGTATGAGAAATTCAATTGGTCAAAATTAAAGGGACATTCTGTCTGACAAAATCACTATTATTATAGCTCGCAATAGAGGTTTTGTTTCTTCATAAGGTACTGTTTTCTTTAAAAACAAACATTTGCTTTTTTAATATGTCTAATTTTTATTCTTCAATTCAAAAGAAGAGAGGCAGATTAGACTCCCACAAGCTCCATGAAAATTCCACAGGGGGTGAAAACAAAAACTTTTTTCGTGTCAACGTACTTCTTTAAGTTGATTGGGGACAGGACATAAGGATGTCCTCCTTTATTTGAACACATATTCCCACATATGGGTGCTCAATCGCTAATTTTAACATGTTATTGGATGTGCCCCCCCATCTGCTGCAGTTATTAACCCCTATAAACTTTTGTTTATTCATTTATTTTCAACTTTTTTATTATGGAGTGCCGACCAGCCATAATATTGTTCAGATTCCTTTTTTAGAATCAAGTCCCGAATTTACAGCATTTTGTCTGTTTGGGTCCTGAATTACAAACTCCAGAAGTTGTTGAATTGCACAAACAGTGTCTGGATTTTGCAGTCTGAATGGCCCCACACACAGCCGGATGGTTATGCAATACAAGGTCAATTGAACTTTAGTAAAGCTCCCCAATAGGATAAGTCTCTAATCCCACTGTTCTATGGATGTTGGGTTGCTACCTCACTTTTAGCCAGAAATACTCAGAAACATATACAAGAGTGTACATTCCATTTATTACAGCCCTGCAGTATGCATTTCTTCATTCACAAGTAACCTTAAAGTAGTGATTCTTAAAGTCTTTAGACAGTAACTGAAATAAAGTATGGCAACTCATTCTGAAACGTTAACAAGTATTCAACGATAATAAAATTATATAATAAACCTTTTGTAACACACCCTGTACGTTGTGATTAAACTCATTTTTTTCTAAGCACTCAGGGCCCATTAAGGGTTCACCACCCACTCCCCTATAGAGATGATATGGAAGCATACTGTTATGGGTCCTCGGTTACCTGTAGCATAAGATCAGATATTGCAATTCCAAGTTGTTGGGAACTTTGCATCCTGAATCTCAGTACAAGGCTTGGTTTGGTGAAATCTAAAAAAATAAAATAAACATTGCATTTATTACATTGCCAAATATATATATATTTACAAAAAACATCTGCTTATTTCCTTCTTGCTGTTATAAAAAGAAAAAGTGATCAATTGAAGCTGTAACTCAAAATCTGGGTCATTTATGACTTTACTCTTTTCTGCTTTACTCTTTATCCATTTAAATGTTTGCTAGGTGTATATGCTGTGCAATTTTGGGCACCTGTTCTAAAGGAAGATATCATGGCACTAGAAAAAGTGCAGAGACGAACTACAAAATTGATAAAAGGAATGGAGCATTTTAGTTATGAAGACAGGTTTAGTTTGGAAAAACGGCGCCTGAGAGGGGATATGATAACATTATACAAATATATTCGGGGCCAGTACAAACCTTTATCTGGAAATCTATTCATAAACAGGGCTATACATAGGACACGAGGTCACACATTTAGGCTGGAAGAAAGGAGATTTCATCTAAGGCAAAGAAAAGGGTTGTTTTTACAGTAAGAGCAATGATGATATGGAATTCTCTGCCTGAAGAGGTGGTTTTGTCAGAGTCCATACAGATGTTTAAACTGCAATTGGATAAATACTTGCAAAAACATAACATACAGGGGTGTAATTTCTAATTAGTGGGGTAATAGCTGCAAGGAGACATCTGACTGCTATTTTGGGGTCAAGTTGTTCCTAGTTTGTTGCAAAATTGGAAATGCTTCAGACTAGGATTTTTGCCAGCAAAAACAAATGTGAGGAAGGCTGAACTTGATGGACGCAAGTCTCTTTTCAGCTATGTAACTATGTAACTATGAAAGCTGTCATGTATTATACATACTGTCTGTGTTTGAGGGTTTGGGATATACTAACGCCAGCGAAGTGCCACATAAGCGTTGACTTTTGGCAGGAAGTGTATAAGATGTATATCTTAGATGCTGGAATACCTTGATAAATCGCGCATGTCTTCTATTGACAATACTAACTCACCCATCCTCTGATATCAACAGGCAGTGCGAGCACTAAATGCTACATGTGGGGAGTATTTTACACTTGGCCTAGAAAAGGAGCTTGGAGGAGCGGCCCTGTGGCAGGTATTTTGTTAATATTGGGATGCAAAAGGTAAGACATTAACCCCTTCCTCCCTCCAGAGCCCGGCGGGAGTGGTACTCTGAGGGTGGGGGCATCCTCAGGGCACTATAGTACCAGGAAAATTAGTATGTTTTCCTGGCACTGTGGTGGTCCTTTAATGAGCCATGAGGTGGCCAGTGTTCGATAGATTGTAGCTCCTAAATGGGGGAAAACGTGAATGGGGTTCGGAACATAATATATGAAAACTTGGCAGGGAAATGTCTTAAACACAGGAAAAATAGGGAGTTTGTCACATCATATATATGGCCCATAGTCGGTGGGCAGGAGACCAACTTCAACACTCCTCCAAGAGTTCATAACAAATGTCCAGGGTAATTAGCGTTTGTCACATACATTTCTAAACAAAACATATCAAATGCACATAAAATGTATGTGGACACATTTATAAACACACTTTTTTATTTGCACACACATACAAAGCTTGAAAATATATTGTAAGGTGCAAGTGAAAAGTGTGTGTGTGTGAGGGGGGAGGTAGACCTGCTTGGGTCTTGGACAGCAGAAAACACTAAATACATTGTTGGCTAAATGGAAAACATGGTTTTGAGTAAAATAAAAATACAACCACAAAAGAGCTTTGTACAAAAAAAATACAAAATAAACCCTAGAACATGTATAAAAAAATAGCGTTACTACTCACCAAATGTTGAAGGAGTTGTAGATATAAAAGTGCTATTAAGCACAGACGTGCTGTTGGTAACTTGATATGTTGTAGACTGACTGGTACTGTTATCTGGCACACTGCTAGTGACATTACTTGTATCTGCTCCTGGCACACTGCTAGTGATATTACTTGTATCTGCTCCTGGCACACTGCTAGTGATAATACTTGTATCTGCTCCTGGCACACTGCTAGTGATGTTACTTGTATCTGCTCCTGGCACACTGCTAGTGATGTTACTTGTATCTGCTCCTGGCACACTGCTAGTGATAATACTTGTATCTGCTCCTGGCACACTGCTAGTGATGTTACTTGTATCTGCTCCTGGCACACCGCTAGTGATATTACTCGTATCTGCTCCTGGCACACTGCTAGTGATGTTACTTGCAGAGATATCTACCAAAGTGCTCGGGGAAGAATTGCCGTTCGTTGCAGTATAACATATAATAACGGTGTTGGGATCAGTTGGGCTACGTGAGTAAGTAATAGAACTAGTTTTGACATCATATGGGGTATATGTATATGTATGGGGTATACTGGTTACAAAACTTGTGCTAGGTCCAGTAGTGGTGTCAGTTGGTCCATGTGATTCAGTAACAGTACTGCCTTCAGTTCCTGTATAAAGTCCAGTAGTAGTACTGGTGGTATTTAACAAAGGTGACTCAGTAAAAGTGCTGATTTCAGTTCTTGTACCAGGTCCAACAGTGGTACTAGTTGTATTTGAGCTATGTAATTCAGTAGTAACTTCAGTTCTTGTATTCGGTCCAGTAGTGATAGTGGTGACCTTTATGCTCTGTGACTGAGTAACAGCACTGGATTCTGATACTGTATTCGTTTCAGCAGCAGTGCTGTTAGTGATTGGGTTTTGTGACTCAGTAATAGTATTAGTTTCAACTGTAGTACCAGGTCCAGCATTGGTAATAGTGGCAATTGGGCTATGTAACTCAGTAGTAGCACTGGTTTCAGTTGTTGTATCAGTTATAGATTCGATTGTATTGCCGGGTCCAGCAGTGGTGCCATTGGTGGTTAGGCTAGGTAATTCAGTAATAGTATTGGTTTCCACTGTTGTGTTAAGCCCATCAGTGATACTAGTTGTAGTTGGGCTCTGGGACTTGGTAACAGCACTGGTTTCTGATCCTGCATTTGTTTCAGCAATGGTACTGGTGGTGGTATGGCTTTGTAATTCAGTAACAGTGGTATTACTTGTTTCAGTTGTAGTGCCGGTTCCAGCAGTGGTGCCAGTGGTGGTTAGGCTACGTAATTCAGTAATAGTATTGGTTTCAGCTGCTGTATTAAATCCATCAGTGATACTAGTTGTAGTTGGGCTCTGGGACTCCATAACAGCATTGGTTTCTGATCCTGCATTAGTTTCTGCAAGATTACTGGTGGTGGTAGTACTATATAACTCAGTAATATTACTGGTTTCAACTGTAGTACCAGATCCAGCAGTGGTAATTGTGGAAATTAAGCTATGTAACTCAGTATTAGTACTGGTTTCGGTTGCTGTGCCGGGTCCAGCAGTGGTTCCATTGGTGGCTAGGCTAGGTGATTCAGTAATAGTATTGGTTTCAGCAATTGTATTAAGTCCAGCAGTAACACTAGTTGTAGTTGGGTTCTGGGACTCGTTAACAGCACTGTTTTCTGATCCTGAATTTGTTTCAACAATATTACTGGTGGTGGTATGGCTTTGTAATTCAGTAACACCGGTATTACTTGTTTCAGTTGTAGTGCCGGTTCCAGCAGTGCTGTTAGTGATTGGGTTTTGTGACTCAGTAATATTATTGGTTTCAACTGTAGTACCAGGTTCAGCTGTGGTAATTGTGACAATTGGGCTATGTAACTCAGTAGTAGCACTGGTTTCAGTTGTTGTATCAGTTATAGATTCGATTGTAGTGCCGGGTCCAGCAGTGGTGCCATTGGTGGTTAGGCTAGGTAATTCAGTAATAGTATTGGTTTCCACTGTTGTGTTAAGCCCATCAGTGATACTAGTTGTAGTTGGGCTCTGGGACTCGGTAACAGCACTGGTTTCTGATCCTGCATTTGTTTCAGCAATGGTACTGGTGGTGGTATGGCTTTGTAATTCAGTAACAGTGGTATTACTTGTTTCAGTTGTAGTGCCGGTTCCAGCAGTGGTGCCAGTGGTGGTTAGGCTACGTAATTCAGTAATAGTATTGGTTTCAGCTGTTGTATTAAATCCATCAGTGATACTAGTTGTAGTTGGGCTCTGGGACTCCGTAACAGCATTGGTTTCTGATCCTGCATTAGTTTCTGCAAGATTACTGGTGGTGGTAGTACTATATAACTCAGTAATATTACTGGTTTCAACTGTAGTACCAGATCCAGCAGTGGTAATTGTGGAAATTAAGCTATGTAACTCAGTATTAGTACTGGTTTCGGTTGCTGTGCCGGGTCCAGCAGTGGTTCCATTGGTGGCTAGGCTAGGTGATTCAGTAATAGTATTGGTTTCAGCAATTGTATTAAGTCCAGCAGTAACACTAGTTGTAGTTGGGTTCTGGGACTCGGTAACAGCACTGTTTTCTGATCCTGAATTTGTTTCAGCAATATTACTGGTGGTGGTATGGCTTTGTAATTCAGTAACACCGGTATTACTTGTTTCAGTTGTAGTGCCGGTTCCAGCAGTGCTGTTAGTGATTGGGTTTTGTGACTCAGTAATATTATTGGTTTCAACTGTAGTACCAGGTTCAGCTGTGGTAATTGTGACAATTGGGCTATGTAACTCAGTAGTAGCACTGGTTTCAGCTGTAGTAGCAGTTATAGATTCGATTGTAGTGCCGGGTCCAGCAGTGGTGTCATTGGTGGTTAGGCTAGGTAATTCAGTAATAGTATTGGTTTCCACTGTTGTGTTCAGCCCATCAGTGATACTAGTTGTAGTTGGGATCTGGGACTCGGTAACAGCACTCGTTTCTGATCCTGCATTTGTTTCAGCAATGGTATTGGTGGTGGTATGGCTTTGTAATTCAGTAACAGTGGTATTACTTGTTTCAGTTGTAGTGCCGGTTCCAGCAGTGGTGCCAGTGGTGGTTAGGCTAGGTAATTCAGTAATAGTATTGGTTTCAGCTGCTGTATTAAATCCATCAGTGATACTAGTTGTAGTTGGGCTCCGGGACTCAGTAACAGCACTGGTTTCTGATCCTGCATTAGTTTCTGCAAGATTACTGGTGGTGGTAGTACTGTATAACTCAGTAATATTACTGGTTTCAACTGTAGTACCAGATCCAGCAGTGGTAATTGTGGCAATTAAGCTATGTAACTCAGTATTAGTACTGGTTTCGGTTGCTGTGCCGGGTCCAGCAGTGGTTCCATTGGTGGCTAGGCTAGGTGATTCCGTAATAGTATTGGTTTCAGCAATTGTATTTAGTCCAGCAGTAACACTAGTTGTAGTTGGGTTCTGGGACTCGGTAACAGCACTGTTTTCTGATCCTGAATTTGTTTCAACAATATTACTGGTGGTGGTATGGCTTTGTAATTCAGTAACACCGGTATTACTTGTTTCAGTTGTAGTGCTGGGTCCAGCAGTGGCGCCAATAGTGGTTAGGCTAGGTGATTCAGTAATAGTATTGGTTTCAGCTGTTGTATTAGGTCCAGCAGTAATACTAGTTGTAGTTGGGCTCTGGGGTTCAGTAACAGCACTGGTTTCTGAACCTGCATTAGTTTCAGCAGTGTTGCTGGTGGTGGTATGGCTTTGTAACTCAGTAATATTACTGGTTTCAGCTATAGAACCAGATCCAGATGTGGTGTTTGTGGCAATTGGGCTTTGTAACTCAGTAGTAGTATTGATTTTAGCTGTAATACCAGCTACAGATGTGGTATTGTTGTAGGTCGGGCTATATAACTCAATATTAGTAAAAGTTTCAGCTATAGCGCTGGGTCCAGCAGTGGTACTGATAGTGGTGGTTGGGCTATAAAACTCAGTATTAGTAATGGTTTCAGCTGTAGTGCCGGGTCCAGCAGTGGCGCCAATGGTGGTTAGGCTAGGTGATTCAGTAATAGTATTGGTTTCAGCTGTTGTATTAAGACCAGCAGTGATACTAGTTGAAGTTGGGCTCTGGGACTCGGTAACAGCACTAGTTTCTGATCCTGCATTAGTTTCTGCAAGATTACTGGTGGATGTTGAACTATATAACTCAGTAAAATTACTGGTTTCAGCTTTAGTACCAGATCCAGCAGTGGTAATAGTGCCAATCGGGCTATGTAACTCAGTAGTAGTATTGGTTTCATTTGTAGTATCAGGTCCAGATGTGGTATTGTTAGAGGTTGGGCTATATAACTCCGTATTTGTAATGGTTTCAACTATAGTGCCGGGTCCAGCAGTGATGCTAGTGATGGTTGAGCTTTGTAACTCAGTAAGAGTATTGGTTTCAGCTGTAGAACCAGATCCAGCATTGGTAATAGTGGCAATTGGGCTATGTAACTCAGTAGTAGCACTGGTTTCAGTTGTAGTATCAGGTCCAGATGTGATACTGTTGGAGGTCGGGCTATATAACTCAGTATTAGTAATGGTTTCAACTATAGTGCCGGGTCCAGCAGTGATGCTAGTGGTGGTTGAGCTTTGTAACTCAGTAAGAGTATTGGTTTTAGCTGTTGTACTAAGTCCAGCAGTAATACTAGTTGTAGTTGGGCTCTGGGACTCAGTAACTGCACTGGTTTCTGATCCTGCATTGGTTTTAGCAGTGGTAATTGTGACATTTGGGCTATGTGACTCAGTAGCAGTACTGGTCTCAGCTCTAGTACCAGCTACAGATGTGGCTCCGTTGGTTGTTTGGCTCTGTGACCCAGTACTATTACTTATTTCAGTTGTAGTATCTGATCCAGCAGTGGGATTTGTGGCAGTTAGGCTATGTGAGTCAACAATAGAACTGGTTTCAGTTCCAGTACCAAGTCCAGTAGTGGCACTGGTGGTGGTTGGGCTATGTGATTCGGTAAGAGTATTAGACTGATGATCTGCTATAGTTCCAACACTGATAGTGGTGGCAGTTGGGCTCTTGGTTCCTATTCCACCAGTGGTATTAGTTGAGCTGTATGATACAGTAATATAGCTGATTCCTGTACTTGAATAAAGATCTGTTCCAGTTCCAGGTTGAGTTAATGTGACAAGTCTCGTAGTACTAACAGATTCAGAGGTGGTTCTTACTTCTATACAGATAGTATACTCATTATTTGATGTAGTGATAGAGCTTCCTGTATTATCAGTCCCAGTGGAAGCAGTGATGAAGGGTCCATATAAAGTAGACCCAGTCTCTCCTGGGCTTGTATTCTGTCCAAATACAGGCAAAATGCCTAGAAGAGAATTGTGAAAATGTTTTGTTAGTGTATATTCTTAATTGCATATGAAACATAAGAGAAGTTATATAAGACTGATAAATGAAGTGTGTGAGCTTGGATTGAAACTTGTTTTTTTTATTCATAGAGTCTGTATTATGTATAAACAAATTGTTTTATAAAATAAAGGAGCACTATAGTTCCAGGAAAAACAACTCGTTTTCCTGACACTATAGGGTCATTAGGTCCCCCCCACCCTCAGGGCCCCCCTCCCGCCTGGCTGAAGGGGTTAAAACCCCTTCAGCCACTTACCTTTCTCCAGCGCCGGCTCAATCTGCTGGGGCACTCACCACCCCCTGCCGACGTCAGATCTGAATGCGCATGCACGGCAAGAGACACGCGCATTCAAACATTACTCAATGCTTTCCTATGGACATCAGCGTCTTCTCACTGTGAAAATCACAGTGAGAATCGCGGAAGCGTCTCTAGCGGCTGTCAGTGAGACAGCCACTAGAGGCTGGATTAACCCTCAATGTAAACATAGCAGCTCCCAGACAACTTGGTCCGGGGTTTTGAACAACTTTGCAACCGTCAGGAGAGCACTTTTTGGAGGGAAGGTGTCTGAGCCTAAGGGGCGCAAACCCTACCTAAGAGCCAGCCATAGCACCCTCTATTTTGGATGTAGGTGCTCCTTAAAGTTGACTGGCGAAAGCAACTAACGCCCTGGAACTAGTTTAGGCATAGGACCACGTTGGCATTTCCCCTACCCTGCATGGATCTGAGCGGTATTTGGAGAACTTGGACGCTCAGATCAGGACAATTTAACAATGTATTATTTGTGGTATTTTTAGGTTTTATATTTTTATGTTTGCCTCTCTGTTCTTGTGAGATAATTATCTTACCGGTCTTTAACGCAATTATCTCCAAGGCACAAATATTTGTGGGAGGGGCTTGCCTTGCATTGAATGGATACCTAATGCTGCGGGCTGTGTATAAAAGCAGGCAACTTGGTAATGATAAACCAGTTCCTTTACACCCTTAACTCAGTCTGGGCTAGTGTTTGGGTGGATCAGCTATACTCACTGCAGGAGAGCTTAATCACTTGAAGCTGTACCCAGGACCCTGTTCCAGGGCAGGAAGCAACGGAGAGACCCCAGCCAAGCTGCAGTGGCTAGGGGCTGAAGCACTCCTGTGTCCCAGAGGAGAGCTAGGAAGCAAGCTTGATCGAGGTACCCAGTCGGGGTGCCAGGCGGTCCGTCTAAGGCCCAAAACCTTCTGTCTTTCTTTTCAATCTTTTCTATTATAGTTTTCTAAATTGTTATTAGTAAGTCACCTAATACTTATCTGAGTAGCCCTGCCCCAGTCATTCCTACCCACCACTAAAGCAAAAGTGTCCTACTTTGTCCATTAGAAATGTTCAGAGCTATAGTAATGTATATTGATCATGTAACAACAAAGGTGGAGTAAGAAATGTTATGTCTTCAATCTATACTGCATCACTACATAAGCTCAGCTCTTTTGGCTTCCAATATCACTTCTATGAAGATGACATGCAAATGTATCTGTCCTCTTGTGATCTTTCACTGTCCATCTTGACTCATGTCTCTGACTACCTTTCTACAATTTCTAACTGGATGGCTGGACACCTCCTCACGCTGTCCAAAACAGAATTTATCATCTTTCCTCTCTCAAGTGTTTCTACTCCCATATTTGTTTCTCTCCAAGCTCCTGGCACCAATTACAACCGGTTATCCTGTTGCCAATGGGGTGAATGGTGGGATAGAGGCCATTTCAGGTCCATTGAGACCCCATGTTTTTAAATGTTATTCTTCTTCTTCTAATAATTCTATTGATTGAGGGAGACGCTGTATAAGGTTTGTTGTTTTGTTGATTTTGTCTGTTTCTACCACACACTTTGAGGAATAGTAGTTGCTGGTAAAACAGGCAGTTATCGACTCCCATAATAGTCCATGGGAACTGTTAATAGTAATGTCTGACAGTTAATCTCGGTTACTAGTGGTGACATTTTGAAGCTAGGAGAGAGCCACTTGTTATGCTCGTTTTGATAAGTAATCAAATGTTGGTAAAAGTTACCGACAACATTGGAAACAAACCCAGTGATGGCTGCTTGCATTTATGTGTAGTATATATATATATATATATTAATGGTTCATTGAGATACATATACATATAGGAGACGTTTCCTTTATCTCTTTATTTATGTTATAGTTTATTCTTTAATTTGGTTCGGCACTTATGAAATTTGGGACTTCGGCAATTCGGGACCTCAGCAAATCAGGACTTTGGGACTTCACTAACCCCTAACCCTACCCCTAACCACTACCCCTAACCCCAACCCCTAACCCCCACCCACTACCCCTAACCCTACCCCTAACCCCAACCCCACCCACTACCCCTAACCCTACCTCCCCCTAACCCCAACCCTACCTCTAACCCTAACCCCCACCCACTACCCCTAACCCTACCCCCTAACCCCAACCCCAACCCTAACCCCTAACCACTACCCCTAACCACTACCCCAACCCCTAACCCCAACCCTAACCCCTAACCCTTAACCACTACCCCTAAACACTACCCCTAACCCTAACCCCTAACCCAAATCCCTAACCAGTACCCCTAACCACCACTTACACATCTAGAGTTAGGGGTAGCATTCCTGTCATCATTCGTGTCATTTTCCCTCCCTCTCTTGTTTTGCCACTTTTCAGAAATCTGAAGCACTTCGGCACTTCCGAAATTCAGCAATTCGGACATTCTGAAGCATCTGAATGTCCGAATTGCCGAAATTCAGCCAAATTTACATTCAGAACTAAACGAATTGCACATGTTTAGTTTATTCCATGGTCTTTTTTGAATAGAGAAGTGCTCATGCCATTGTACAGAACACTGGTGAGACCTCACTTGGAGTATTGTACACAGTACTGGAGACCATATCTCCAGAAGGATATTGATACTTAGAGAGGTTCAGAGAAGGGCTACTAAACTGGTTCATGGATTGCAGGATAAAACTTACCAGGAAAGGTTAAAGGATCTTAACATGTATAGCTTGGAGGAAAGACGAGACAGGGGGGATATGATAGAAACATTTAAATACATAGAGGGAATCAACACAGTAAAGGAGGAGACTATATTTAAAAGAAGAAAAACTACCACAACAAGAGGACATAGTCTTAAATTAGAGGGACAAAGGTTTAAAATAATATCAGGAAGTATTACTTTACTGAGAGGGTAGTGGATGCATGGAATAGCCTTCCAGCTGAAGTGGTAGAGGTTAACACAGTAAAGGAGTTTAAGCATGCATGGGATAGGCATAAGGCTATCCTAACTATAAGATAAGGCTAGGGACTAATGAAAGTATTTAGAGAATTGGGCAGACTAGATGGGCCGAATGGTTCTTATCTGCCGTCACATTCTATGTTTCTATGAATACAATGAAGGTTTTTTTTATGTTGCCGGATATTGTTTTCCTTTAATATAGTTATTGGATTTTTACTGCAGATGAGTTTTTAGTAAGTTCTTCCTTTATTCATATGATTTTGTCAGCTTTGAATCCATATGTTGTGATATTAGGTAGCATCCCTTCCATTTAATTCAGATGGTAAATTAGAATTGACCTGTAGGCAATGTGTAACAAAATGGACAACTACCTGCTCTAGACTGTAAGCTCGTTTGAGCAAGGTCCTCATTTACTTATTATTCCTGTAACATTTTGTTATTGTCTCATTTGTTAAATTCACATTGAAGAATAAGCAGGCACTATATAAATACCCCAAATAATACCAATGATAATCATAATAATAACTCATTAGTTTAGGACCCCCAACTTTTCTCAGGAAGGAGCATTTTTTACTAAGGACATCCAATACCTGTTTAAATTCATGGGATTTTACATAGGTAAATGGATCACGTGTAAGAGGCACCCTAAGTAAAAGTTAAGCACCGTGATATTTTTTTTCTTTTTGCCATTGTCTGTTTAAGCAGCCTGGCCTCACCCTTTGTATATGTACAAAAGAGCAATTTATCATAAACAATATATAATCTATACAGGTGCAGTTCTTTTTGTATCCATAATAGATACAGATATTATCAGAGAAAAGGTATGCCGTATATTTCAGCTATGTCACTAAATTTATTTTCATTGAAAAGTTTTTACAAGCGTATCTTGAATATCCACAACTCATCTAAAACCTGTTTCACTTTTTTATGTTGTTTCAAATCTGTACCTTATAGTCTATAAGCAGGAACATGGCTGAACCTGCTAGCAGTCTCACACATTACAGAGTTCTGTGAAAATATCCCATCCCTGCTTTTGGTCTTCGTAACCCTCTTTATTTTAAATTTATATGCCATTAATTGAGGTACTATACAACACCCAGAAGATATGACCCTGTATTGTAAAACAAAATGTCCCTTTATGACAGGTGTAGTAGCTATTCTGGGCCCAAATTTCCCTGTCCCTCTTTTCTCTCCTAATGTTCCTCTTTTCTAGGAGCTCTGTATTGTTGGTGTGTCTGAGTGTATAACAGAGCTCCACAGCAATAATACTCCCAGTAATGTGTCTGAGTGTATAACAGAGCACCACATCGATAATACTCCCAGTAATGTGTCTGAATGTGTAACAGAGCTCCACAGCAATAATACTCCCAGTAATGTGTCTCAATGTATAACAGAGCTCCACAGCAATAATACTCCCAGTAATGTGTCTGAGTGTATAACAGAGCTCCACAGCAATAATACTCCCAGTAATGTGTCTGAGTGTATAACAGAGCTCCACAGCAATAATACTCCCAGTAATGTGTCTGAGTGGAGCTCCACAGCAATAATACTCCCAGTAATGTGTCTGAGTGTATAACAGAGCTCCACAGCAATAATACTCCCAGTAATGTGTCTGAGTGTATAACAGAGCTCCACAGCAATAATACTCCCAGTAATGTGTCTGAGTGTATAACAGAGCTCCACAGCAATAATACCCCCAGTAATGTGTCTGAGTGTATAACAGAGCTCCACAGCAATAATACCCCCAGTAATGTGTCTGAGTGTATAACAGAGCTCCACAGCAATAATACTCCCAGTAATGTGTCTGAGTGTATAACAGAGCCCCACAGCAATAATACTCCCAGTAATGTGTCTGAGTGTATAACAGAGCTCCACAGCAATCTACTCCCAGTAATGTGTCTGAGTGTATAACAGAGCTCCACAGCAATAATACTCCCAGTAATGTGTCTGAGTGTATAACAGAGCTCCACAGCAATAATACTCCCAGTAATGTGTCTGAGTGTATAACAGAGCTCCACAGCAATAATACTCCCAGTAATGTGTCTGAGTGTATAACAGAGCTCCACAGCAATAATACTCCCAGTAATGTGTCTGAGTGTATAACAGAGCTCCACAGCAATAATACTCCCAGTAATGTGTCTGAGTGTATAACAGAGCTCCACAGCAATAATACCCCCAGTAATGTGTCTGAGTGTATAACAGAGCTCCACAGCAATAATACTCCCAGTAATGTGTCTGAGTGTATAACAGAGCTCCACAGCAATAATACCCCCAGTAATGTGTCTGAGTGTATAACAGAGCTCCATGACAATTATACTACCAGTGTATCTACAATAAATTAGTTTAGAAATCAGTCTAAATAAGATACATTGTTCTTGTTCTAAATATGAAGTTCTATGTCGTAGTATTCAGCGCTGGATCTATTGGTTCCATGTCGTAGTATTCAGCGCTGGATCTATTGGCTCTATTTGTAGTATTCAGCGCTGGATCTATTGGTTCCATGTCGTAGTATTCAGCGCTGGATCTATTGGTTCCATGTTGTAGTATTCAGCGCTTGATCTGTTGGTTCTATGTCATAGTATTCAGCGCTGGATCTATTGGCTCTATGTCATAGTATTCAGCGCTGGATCTATTGGCTCTATGTCGTAGTATTCAACGCTGGATCTATTAGTTCCATGTCGTAGTATTCAGCACTGGATCTATTGGCTCTATGTCGTAGTATTCAGGGCTGGATATATTGGTTCCATGTCGTCGTATTCAGCGCTGGATCTATTGGTTCCATGTCGTAGTATTCAGCGCTGGATCTATTGGTTCCATGTCGTAGTATTCAGGGCTGGATCTATTGGTTCTATGTCATAGTATTCAGCGCTGGATCTATTGGCTCTATATCGTAGTATTCAACGCTGGGTCTATTGGTTCCATGTCGTAGTATTCAGGGCTTGGTCTATTGGCTCTATGTCGTAGTATTCAGCGCTGGATCTATTGGTTCCATGTCGTAGTATTCAGGGCTGGATCTATTGGTTCTATGTCATAGTATTCAGGGCTGGATCTATTGGTTCTATGTCATAGTATTCAGCGCTGGATCTATTGGCTCTATATCGTAGTATTCAATGCTGGATCTATTGGTTCCATGTCATAGTATTCAGGGCTGGATCTATTGGCTCTATGTCGTAGTATTCAATGCTGGATCTATTGGTTCCATGTCGTAGTATTCAACGCTAAAGCAGCAGGGATTGTGCTCCACTGTTAACTGTTGATCACTGTTAAACCTAGATGATGATGCCTAATGCATTAATAAATTAAAAGAATCAGCGTTCATTTTTCAAGCCCAAAACATGAATTTTCCATGCATTAATGATTGTATATGGAGATGGTGCGTGGCTAAAAGTACAGTATTTACTACTCATAAACATTAACATTAATGCAATATTTAACTTTAACTATTGGTTAATTGGGTACAACTAAGCGCAGTGACAAGTGGCATGCTTTGCTGCGTAAGGCGAGAGTAAAAGGAGCACATATGAACTGGATCACAGCTGACCTCATCCAAATTTACCAGTTTCGGGATTCATTGTGGTCAAAGTTCAAGCATACTGGCTCTATGAACGAACACTGTGCATATAGACAATGATGAAATATATGCACAAAACAAACAAAATGAACAATGAAAGTCTAGGTACACTTGAAACAGAGTTGGGTTTATTAGCTAATGAAGACCAGGAAAAAGCAGAAATTTTAAATAACTATTTCTCTTCGGTATATATTAATGAGAATCCTCTGGCAAGAGATATGGAAATGATTGCTGCAAAAAACTTGCAAATAACTTGTGATTGGATAACTCGAGACAAGGTGCTACAGCTATTAAAGAAAATTAATGTAAATAAAGCTCCAGGGCCTGACGGTATTCACCCACGAGTACTTAAGGAGCTAAGTGGGGAAATAAGTGAATCTCTGTATTTAATTTTTCAAGATTCTTTTGTTTCAGGGGTTGTACCGGAGGATTGGAGGAACTTTGTTATTAGCAATAATCAGCATGGTTTTATGAAACATAGGTCATGTCAAACTAACCTAATTGCAATCTACGAAGAAGTAAGTAGAAGTATAGATCAGGGTGTTGCAGTGGATGTGATCTACTTGGATTTTGACAAGGCATTTGATACGGTTCCTCACAATAGGTTAGTCTTCAAACTAAAAGAAATTGGTCTAGATGAATATTCTTGTTCTTGGGTAGAACATTGGCTTAAGGATAGAGTACAACGAGTTGTAATTAATAGTAAATTTTCAGGCTGGACAAAAGTGGTAAGTGCTGTCCCTCAGGGTTCTTTTTTGAGACCACTTCTATTTAACATACTTATAAATGATCTTGAAATAGGCATTGAAAGCCATGTATCAGTGTTTGCAGATGACACAAAACTTTGTAAAGTAATAAAATGTGAGCAGGATATTGCTTTGCTGCAGTGAGATTTGGATAGATTGGGGGACTGGGCACTAAAATGGCAGATGCAATTTAACATAGAGAAATGCAAAGTTATGCACTTCGGGGTTAAGAATGCACAAGCAACTTACACACTAAATGGTAGTGAATTAGGGATAACCACACACGAGAAGGATTTGGGAATTGTTATAGACAACAAATTAGGCAGCAATATGCAATGTCAATCTGCAGTTGCAAAGGCCAGTAAGATTTTAACATGTATAAATAGGGGCATAAATTCTCGGGATGAAAATATAATTTTGCCTCTTTATAAATCGCTGGTAAGACCAAGAAAGGTTAAAAAAATTTAATCTTTTTAGTTTGGAAAAACGGCGCCTGAGAGGGGATATGATAACTTTATACAAATATATTCGGTGCCAGTACAAACCTTTATCTGGAAATCTATTCATAGACAGGGCTATACATAGGACACGAGGTCACACATTTAGGCTGGAAGAAAGAAGATTTCATCTAAGGCAAAGAAAAGGTTTTTTTACAGTAAGAACAATTAGGATATGGAATTCTCTGCCTGAAGAGGTGGTTTTGTCAGAGTCCATACAGATGTTTAAACTGAAATTGGATACATACAGGGATATAATTTCTAATTAGTGGGGTAATAGCTGCTTGATCCAAGGAGACATCTGACTGCTATTTTGGGGTCAAGAAGGAATTGTTTCCTAGTTTGTGGCAAAATTGGAAGCGCTTCAGACCAGGTTTTTTGCCTTTTTTTGGATCAACAGCAACAACATTTGTGAGAAAGGCTGAACTTGATGGACGCAAGCCTCTTTTCAGCTATGTAACTATGTAACTATGTAACTATGTAAAATTGGCCAAGGCATAATATTTCTGTGAAAATCTGAACAATAACCTATCAAATCCTAGAAACTTTCATAAATAAATTACAAACTCCCCCAATCCACTCCCAACCCTCCACTGTTAAAATGGATAACCAAACCCTGCAACTTCCCTTAGATGTAGCAAATGCCTTTAACAATTATTTTGTCGTATGCTCTACTGCCCTGATTGCCAAGTTAATAAATGACACGCATCCTGAAACTACTAATGTGGATCAGGCCCCACTAAATTTGCAAAGGCCCAATATAGACAAGTTCATTTTTAGACCTGTACCTGTTAGTGTCATTAAAAAACATCTTAATAATCTAAAAATGAAAAACCAGTCTGGACCTGATCAAATCCCAGCAATGCTGTTGAAGCTCAGTGCGCCGGCAAATGCTAAACCTGTCACAACCCTAATTAACGAATCCTTGGTGTCTGGATACATAACCAAACTTTGGAAGACTGCGAGAGTAGTGTCTATCCATAAAAGTGGTGACACTACTTTGGTTTCTAACTATCGCCCAATATCATTGCTCCCAGTATTGTCAAAAATCTTAGAAAAATGCATTCATGCGCAACTATGTGAGTATTACGAACAATCAAACTATCTGACCCCTGATCAATCGGACTTTCGCCAGAATCACTCCACTACAACTGCTCTCTTAAAAGTTTCCAATGACATCCAAACTGGCATGGAACAAGGAGACCTAACTGGAGATATTTTTGTTGATTTTGCAAAGGCATTTGACACAGTAGACCACGACATTCTACTGCACAAATTCAAAACCTCAGGTGTTGGTGATTGTTCGCTAACCTGGTTTCGATCGTATGTATCGGTTCGCTTGCAATATGTGTCCATTTCTGACAGCGACTCCCTCCCTCTCCAAGTCATGTGTGGTGTTCCCCAAGGTTCCATTCTCGGCCCCCTACTATTTACATTATTTCTAAATGATCTGCCTAATGTTTGCAAATCCTCAAATGTACACATGTACGCAGACGACACAGTAATCTATGCAAGCAAATCTGATATACCGCAGCTTGAGGCTGTGCTCGAAGACCAGTTTACAGAGATAGAAAAGTAGATCGCAAAAAACAAACTCTTCCTGAACACTGACAAAACTGTCACAATGATCTTTGGAACAGTACCTAAATTACACAAATTACACAATTCCTATCCATCAAAACAAATTTAAATGGCACACTGACCGCAGTCTTTCAAATACCTGAGTATGTTGTTAGACCCCAATCTATCTTTTGGCCTCCACATAGAAAAGCTTGCATCTAAACTTTATCCAAAACCAGATGCCCTGTACAGAAACAAATCCTGCCTAAGCCCTACAGTAAAGGAAAGGATTGTACAGCAAATGCTGATGCCAATCATTGATTATGGGGATGTAGTATATGCACCTGCACCGCAATCCCACATTAATAAACTCAATATATTGTATAACTCGTTCTGCCGATTTGTGCTACAATGTAATTACAGGACCCACCACTGTGAAATGCTAAAATAACTAAATATTGATTATATATTTCCTAACTGTTCTATGTTAAAATTTGTATACATTGTGTATTAATATTGTTTTTGTATTTTATTGTACCGTATTGTATCAATGCAATGATTTGTGGACCCAGGGCATACTTGAAAATGAGAGAAATCTCAATGTATCTTTCCTGATAAAATTTTTATAAATAAATAAATATATAAGTCATTTTTATAGTAATGTCTAAAAAGTACCCTCAGGGTTGTTCACTAAAATGCCAACTATTCTGTAATATTCTGTAACGCTTTACAATTATAGATTGGGGATATTTAACAAGTAATTTACATGGTGAATATAACAAGACAAGAGGTAGAAAAAGCCTTGCTCAAACCAGCTTACAATCTATTAAACATTTGACAAAAATAAAACGACTTACCAGAAATTACGAGAAATATTAGTGTTATCCCATATAGAATGCAGCCATTTCTAGGGGTCATATTCCACGTTTAAAAGCTCCCCTCTCCGATACAAAGCCCTCTCCTTATCCTGTGTGTCATCTGTAAAATGCTTCTTAAGACTTCTTCCTCAATCTAAATAGCTGTACTACAAGCTTCTGACAAATAAGAAAACTCTGAACATTAACCCATTGTAGGGAAGGAGTTACCTGTGCTCAGAGCAGAACATTCTTTCATTTGTCAGCATAGGAGGAAAACTCAGTGACTTAATAACCCTTTAGAAGAGAAGAGGAATGTTAAACAACTGGGCAGAACGAGCACACACAGTCTGTTACTAGAATTTCCTTGAAATACCTGTCTGGTCTGACAATCACTTAGCTAAAACAGAAATTTAATTTCGTTTTTTTGCAGCATATTTATTTTATTTATATAATAACATGTACATCCCATTGTACAGCGCTACGGAATCTGATGGCGCTATATAAATAATAGAATAATAATAATGTTTTTATATACTTTTAAAAGTGGCAAGATATACTGCAGTATAGTACAACAGGAAGGTGAGACATAAGTAAATTCAACAAGAAAAGTTTTGACTGCAGAAAGACATCGTCAATGCCCAGTTTAAAGAGCTTACAATCTAAATGAATACCTTTGCACAAAGGTTAATGGAAGTACATTATTTTATGTATAAAATAATGGCTTGGATGGTGTAGTAACAGGAAACGTCTATATCATCACAAGGCCTGGATTGAAGATAAACTGGATTAGTGAAAACGAGGAGAGGGGGCACTTAATATGCCTTCCTAGAGGGTGGGTATAAAGAATTTTGAAAAGTTGGGGAAGTTTAATTGATGGAAACATATGACTAGCACAGCCCTAGCAGGACCTGGTAGGTGAGATTTGGTGGTGCATGCGCTAGCAAAGGACGGGCAAAAATAGTTGGAAGAGCAGAGGGTTCAATACTTGTTTATAACCAAGGATATGAAGATAGGGCTCTGTAATGGAAGGTAGGCAAAGACTAAGGATTAAACTTATAGGAAACCAATGTAAGGACTGGCAGAGGGTTGAGATAAAGGATGAGAGGGGTATCAGGAAATGAAACTGGCGGCAGCATTCATTATGGGTTGTAAGGGACAATCTGGGCATTAGCCACCCATTCACTGTGGGTTGTAAGGGACAATCTGGGCATTAGCCACCCATTCACTGTGGGTTGTAAGGGACAATCTTAGCAAACAGTCCCTCACTGTGGGTTGTAAGGGACACTCTGGGCATTAGACACGCATTCATTATGGGTTGTAAGGGACAATCTGGGCATTAGCCACCCATTCATTATGGGTTGTAAGGGACAATCTGGGCATTAGCCACCCATTCACTGTGGGTTGTAAGGGACAATCTGGGCATTAGCCACCCATTCACTGTGGGTTGTAAGGGACACTCTGGGCATTAGACACGCATTCATTATGGGTTGTAAGGGACAATCTGGACATTAGACACCAATGAGAAGCAAGTGGCAGTAGTCGATGCAGGAGATAATTAGAACATGGACAACTGTGTTAGTTACTTTTGTGTTAGCACATGAGGTGTATTTTTAGATGAAAGTGATTGGATTTGGAGTTTGATTGAATGTGTGGAGTGAAGACATGTCAGAGTAAAGAGGATGTGAAGACAGCAAGTTGATGGTAGAACCGTAAGTTAAAATAGATACTAACAATGGAGGGAGAAAGCTTCTGTTTCTGAGAGACTCAATTTTAAAAATAACATTATGAATGCATTATACAAATATGTCTACCGTCAGCACAAACAGTACATTAACATTGCAAAGAGCAGCCAGATCGAAGAGGATCAAGGACGTAATTACATTCAAGGAAATTAGCCAACGTGGTATATATGAGCCATTCAAGGAGTGCGTTGGTAAAAAGTTGTAAGGAGTCAGAAGAAGTTGGATGGAGAATATGACTCTAATGAAGGTTTTTTTTAACAGAATAGGGGAGATACTAGAAAAGTGAGTAACTGAAGATTGCTAACAGAAGGATGAAGTTCAATGACAAAGTCTGGGATTAACATTAAGGACAGGATCATGGGGACATGTGATTGGGTGGCAATAGAGATGAAATGTTATGTATAGATGTTAGAGAAACACAGCAGAAAACAAATCGGTAATGATGAGAGGAGGTTGTTGAGATTTCCTACAATAAGTTAGCAATCTTTTCAGTAAAGTAGCCCGCAAAGTCACAAGCTCCAAGGCTGGTGGGTGGGAGTGCAGTAGTTGTATTAATTATAAGGGTAGGGGAGCAGCGATGCAGTGCTGTTACTATATAAAGGTGTAGATTTTGTTTGGCAAGGGACAGCAGCAAAATTACAGGAGGCCAACTTGAACTTGTTTTTCAGGAAGTTGGTTGTACAGCAGGACATTCCGCAACTATGCTCAGCCACTCTGGACCATTTTATTTTTTGCTGTCAAATGGAACAGATTGGTGAAGGCACTGGATGCTCTAGATGAAAGAGCTGAGTTGTACATGGAGTTTGTTTAACTGGTACAGGAGGATGGTTAAGATAGAAAGAGAGAGAAAATATTGGGATCATTTGAGAGTGGTTGTTAAGCCAATGAGGTTTCTGCACGTGTATGAGGTTGATTGGGGAGTACATTGGGGAGTACAGTACTCAGTGTACTCACACTGCCAGAAACACCATATCTCATTTTCTTTTCCAACATTTTCAACATACATTTTCATATTTGCAGTCACCACAAACTGTTCTCCAGATTGTCCCTATTGGAGAACAGTTTGTGGTGACTGCAAATATGAAAATGTATGTTGAAAATGTTGGAAAAGAAAATTAGATATGGTGTTTCTGGCAATGTGAGTACACTGAGTCCTTGTGGATGACGCCAAAGAAGAAAATCACAGGCTTCTCATAGACATTCTGCTGTTCACAGGTCAAAACAGAAAAGTGTCCATAAGAATTGCATTTAATATGGGACAGGATGTGTAAGGCCTTACAAAACAGCTGGAACCATGTACACATGCACCCACGTAGATTCATGCATACAGAGGCATATGCATTCTAGACACATACAGACAAACACAATGATATGCACTTTTATACACAAATGTAGATTCCCAGTGCTATACAGACATGCACACTGCCACACACTGAAACATATAGTAAATATGTAGTGAATAGCCACCATCCTATTATAAGTTTTAGCTGCAGGAAGGTGGTTTCCTAGACCCCGGGGTCCGGCCAGCTCCTCTTGCACCCCCACTCAGCTTTCTGTGTACTAGGAGGAAATGATAGTACACACTATCATTGTTACTGTTGGAGTGCAAGCAGGGCCGACATTGCACACAGGTAGCCCACCAGCTATTTATCAGCAGCCAGCTAAGGGAGCCTGGGAACTAAAGTTCCATTTACTTACCAATGATTCCTGATGTTTCTTAGCCAGACATTTTATCTATAGTTATATTTAAAAGTGTCTGAGGATACGCTGTTCAGTTCGTTGTTTTACATGTAACATTTGAAGCTCTAAAAATGAATAAATTATTAACGTTAATTGTATATCTGTCTCTTTACAGGAAAACTGTCACAATCATTTTTACAATATCATAGTAAAAGTGGGTTATTTTTAGTCCTTTATTTTCTAATTTGTACATCCAGAAAATAAAACCTCATGTAAGTCCTTGGCCTTGCCATTTTGCCTCCATTGATTTCATGTGATCTTTGGTTAGAAGCTCATTTACCCTGGCCAAGATCAGGGTCCATTCCTGGTCTTAATATGTGTTTAAACAGGCTCATACTGCACCAGTCGCATGTGGCTGTGACGCAGCAGTTACGACAAATTGAAAGAGAAAACAAACAGAAACACTGTTTAGCTGCACGGACCACTGCCTGTTTTGGTTTCAAGCCGTCAGATGACAGAGTTCTGAACCTGCAGAGCAGGATATTACAGACTTGCTTCTCTCTTGGCCACTCCAGGCTCTGAAACTAACAGGACTGCTGGGGAAAAGTCAGAATTGTTACCTACAGACTGCAGTAGATTTATTGTGGTCGTAAATTTCTAATTTCTTGACTGGTCGAAGCCAAAACCAAATAATTAGAAACACAGAACCAACGCAGCCTTATAATAAGCCCTGTATAGAATAGACCCTATCCTTGGGTGTCCTCCGTATTCTATTATTGTGGAATTATACAGGCTCATAAAATGCACGAACTTTCATAAAGCTGATAAAAAAAAAAAATACATGTAACACGTTCTAGAACATGATTAACCCTTTAAGGACTGAGGCAGTTGTACAAGTTCAGATCACAATAATAAGTAAACAAAACTTTGAATTTGCGCTATATGTCTGTTCAACCAAAATTCAACTCTTTCATATTATTATACGTCATTTTGTTCAGGAGAAAAAGGGCCTTCCTTTCATATCAGATTTTAATATATAAAACATAATTTAATATGAATAAAATATTTTTTTTGTTCTGCATGGCATTTTAACTGTGAATGTCATAATACAGTAAGCTGTTATGACAATAAAGTGCACCTTTGTATTCAGCGATGTCTCACGAGTAAAACAGTACCCCTCATGTACAGGTTTAATGGTGTCTTGGAAAGTTACAGGGTTAAATATAGGGCTTGCAAACTGAATTCTGTGGACTTTATTCCTCGGTTGTCAGGCAGGGCCCTCAAATCGTAATTAATAAAATGACAATAAAGTAAAAATATTACATAAATACATATACATACATATATATATATATATATATATATATATATATATATATATATAGAGAGAGAGAGAGAGAGAGAGAGATAGATATATACACACACACACACGTATGTGTGTATATATGGATTTTTAAAACATTATTTTCATATATATAGAGAGAGAGATTATATATATATATATACATTATATATAAACACACACACACACACACATATATATTAATATACGTATATATTTATGTATATATATATATATATATATATATATATAATTTTGTTTTCAGTGTATTTTGATATCTATATATTAACTTCAAAATACAATTAAAATGGAATAACACATGTATAAATAATTTTTATTTAATTTATTATTAATTAATTTTTTTACTTATTTATGTATGTGACAAACTCCCCTTTTGAAGCAGTTAAGATTCTTCAATGAAGGCAATACGCCACAAATCAGGATTCTTGGAAGCTGATAAGGAAAGTCTTTCGGTAAGATGTAATTCAGGCAAGTTCAGGATGAAGTAATGCAGGTTAGTG